ATTGGTGAATGCCACAAATTCTCCTAAATCACTCGTACGCACAACTTAAGAACAAATCTGTGCGTATGAACGGTTCTTGCATGAGGCCCAATGTCTCTCATGAAGCTAACTGCCAAAAAAAGACAGTCTGGTGTGATTAGTTTTAATAGAAAACATGCATGTTGTAAAGTTTGCATAAAGAAATTTGTATTTTTCTAGAGAACGTTTGTCTCGATTAATTGCACTAATTGAGGAGGCAAGATTTTAGTCGTATTCACTTTATTTTATCATAAATCAAAAATAAGCAATGATCCATGTTTTTGTTTTGTTAAGTGTCTTTAGATGAGTTATGTTAGGGGTGTCAAGCACATTTTCACCGAGGGCCAAGTGGTCTATGTGGTATATCCTGCATAGAAACAGTGTTTTAACAAGCCTCTTATAAAAGCTGAAAAATACTACAAGTATGACTGACTAAATGTGAAATAAATAACATGGACATATTAAAAGTACAGAGCTCAACTGTTACTGATGTCCCCATCGCCGTTCAGTAGTGACCAACTGTTAGCAGTTTTGTTGGAATCATCACAGGCCTTCATTTTTTAAATCATCTCATAAGGTGAATAGATGGACAGATGGGGGGCAAAATGATCTTGTCAAACTACTACACAAACGTGTTGAGCAGGTCTCCCTTATGATGCACACAAAATTTGGTTCAGATCGGATCATGTACGTGTGATTTAGAATGAACCGTGTGCAAAGTGGGCGGTGCTAAAGGGATATCATCAAACTAACACACTAATGTGTTTAGTTGTTTTCCTTAATGATGCGCATAAAATTGTGCACAGATCAGGTCATGCAGATCTGATTGTGGCTGCCCGATCCGTACCATCAGCTCATTTGCGCATGCACTAAATCAGGGGTTATTAACCTTTTTGACCTCGGGGCCCAATTTATTGAACATAAAGTGACACGAGGCCCAATTAGACATTACCAATGTACGGATCAAAACTATAATTGTTCTAAATCTTGGTTTAAAATAATAATTATTCTAAATCTTGGTTTAATCAATGTGCATTGCCAATGCAATGCACACTATTGTGATTCGTTTCCCATCCAAGTCATCTCCACTTTGGTATGCCCTCTTGCATGCTTTGTCCTAGAGCTGCCATTGTAATTTAAATCTGTAAAGCTCCTGTGCCAAATGATTGCTATGCCTTTTGGTGCCTGTACAACCTATAGTTTTTGAAATATTAATGTTTAAAATCAAATAATGGGAGTCAATGGAGTCTTGTATGCGTCCAATACTGCCCCATGCTGTATTCTCCCCATGTATGTATTAAAACAGCATCGGGTTAATGAGGGGTCCCATTTTATTTTATTTTGCCCTTGTAAGGGGTACCCAGACCCAAAGCATTTGGTAAGCGTGTAAGGGCTATTTGACCAAGAAGGAGAGTGATGGGGGTGCTGCGACAGATGACTTGGCCTCCACAGTCACTGGACCTGAACCCAATCCAGATGGTTTGGGGTGAGCTGGACCGCAGACTGAAGGCAAAAGAGCCAACAAGTGCTGAGCATCTCTGGGAACTCCTTCAAGACTGTTGGAAAACCATTTCAGGTGACTACCTCTTGAAGYTCATCAAGAGAATGCAAAGAGTGTGTGAAGCATCAAAGCAAAAGGTGGTTACTTTGAAAAACTTAGAATATAAGACATATTAAAACGTTGCTAAACATCTGAGTGGTGCACTACTGCTATTAGTGGTGAGAAAGTGTATTGCACCTTATTCAAAATCAATGCAGTCCCACGGCCCTCTGTGGCCTAAAGTTAAAAACTGTTGTTCTTTTCTGGCCCTCTAGGTGGCGCTTGCGGCCCATAGGTTAAGAATCTATGCGCTAAATGATAGATTTCTGGAATGCGCTCAATTTAGGAAAAAATATTGAAAATAATTATTTTCATACTCCATTGTAAAGGTGTGTTTAATTATATTCTGAAAACAGTTTCAATATTGAATATATTTTGATTAATAAAATATAGATTTACGATGCGTACATATTTATTTATAGTAACTTGCAAACTATTTTCTAGACAATCATGTTATAACTCATCTCATCTTTGTTTTATTTTTTTCCTGGAATAAATATCCACATCTGTTGCAAAAGTTGCCTTTTCTGTGAAACACTGCAGGTGATGAAAGACTGAAATTGAATGAATTCTGTCATCAGTCTAGCGAAATGCTACATGCTAAAAACAAACGGTACGGATCGTGCTTCCGGGACAGATTGGGCAGCCACACTGATCATGTATTTGTGATTAAGAGCTAACTGTGTGCAAAGTGGGCAAGGCATCAGCATTCGTCACTCTGCCACACAATCCCACCGATAACCAGTGTTTAGAGAAGCATGCAGCATGTGAAGTCTGCATGTTCAAAGCCATGGCGCATGAGGGTCCAAATTAAGACTACTGAGCAACCAGCGGTTGTTACTTCCTTGTAGCACGAGGCTATATCCATTCCTAAGCCAGCTATTGATCTGATTATTGATAGGCCGGCACCAGTAACTGAGCAGCTGGCCCTGGGAACGGCCGGCGCTGGCAAATGAGAACGACTATTCATTTGCATTAGCATCTGAGTGGCTAGCGACTAGCATGCCTAGGCTTCTCACCAACTTTATTAGACAGAAACATTTTTGAATAAAGAAAACTTTCTCTATAAATTAAACTTTCCCTAAAAAGCCCGAACTTGATAGTTCTGGCATTTCTTATAATTCTGCTAAAGAGAAACAAACATTGCAGTCGACCAATAGACAAGGGCAAACGCTAATTCAGATGGTAACTAAAGTTGTCTGCTTCTCAGTAATATGTTTTATGTTTAATATTTATGTTGAATGTCATGTTGGACAGTATTGCTGTGTCCAAAACGGCAGTACGGGTCCTCCAAAGGTCGAATTTGTCAGCCGCATACGTCACAGCGCCGCGACGAAGGACGTCCAAAACCGAAGACTCCTCCGATGCGGCCGACAAATACGTCCTTCTTTTAACCCGAATCGAAGGACAGGTCTGATGGATCCTTCCCGGCCCAGCATATCCCATAATGC